GTAGGTGCCATCTGGCAAGATGAGCCCCAGAAAGACCTGGTTCCAGGATGCCTGGGCCCTTTGGGGGCGGGAGCACAGAATTTGCAGCCCGGGGCAAGAACAACAGATGTTTGAGAGGGACATGAATCGGAGAGACAAGGAGGGATGCCTCGGGCCGATCCCATTCCCCATGGGGGGGACAGCAGGAAACAAGACATTCAACCTCCAGCATCTGGACTGACAGGTGAGGGCCTGGGTCCCAGCCATGAGCCAGCCTTGGTGGATGCTCCCATCCCATTGCCATGTGATGGCTGAGCTACCGGAGCCATGGCGCCTGGAGGCCAGAGTCCAGATCAGCTCTCCAAGCTGGTCCTTGTCTCCGGACACCACCCTGTCCTTCTCCCAGGAGCGACTGCACCCTCGAGGGTGAGAGCCCAGCTTCCTGTCCAACACTTGTGGGCATGGCCCCTGGCACATAGGAAGTGCTTGCAGAATGGTGGCAGAGCAGTGACAGTGAGGAGCAAACGGCATTGGCTACCGAGCAAGTCGCTGAACCCATCTGAGCCTCAGTTTCCCTATCTCCAGAGTGAGACTAGTGAGCGCATCTCCTGGGTGGAGTCAGTGGGGAGAGTCTGCGCGTTAATGTGTAAAATGCTGACCAACCGCTGTGCGCAGTGGCCTCGCCTGGGCCCAGCAGGCTCCCATGCTTTTTTGAGCACCTTCGATACATTTGGTTCTGTCCTGCTGGGCCCCAGTCAGGTGGGAAAGAGATGGTGGAGGTGGGGATGGCTGAACCTGGAGCCCTCCCCATCTCCAGTCCGGCCACCCAGGCTCTGCCCTGTGGGCATCCCCATCTAGGAGATGAACACCTATGAGGGTTTCCAGGTGAGGCCCAGGCCTGGCCCCCCGCCAACCGAAACCACTAGCAAACAGGCCTCTTTCACCCCACCCTGCCCACCCACTGGCCAGAGGACCCTGCTGTTTCTTGCTCCGGGTTAAGGAAAGCCCGGCAGGCTGGGAGGCCACAAGGTAAGGAAGGGGCAGGAACACAGGCTGCCAGCCTCTTTCCTGCTTCTCTGGCTCACAGCCCCGCGCCCCCCGCCCCCAGAGTCCCTTCCCCTACCCGCAGCTTTCCCTTCTTGAAGGGCAGTTCTAGAATTGCTCGAATATGGACCGTGCTGCTTCTGAAGGTAGTAAATCACCCACCGAGGATGGGGTGGCCTGGCCGGCGCCCCCTTTCCTCAGCAGCCTTGGGGCTGGTTAGGTCACCTGTGCTGTCACCCCTGTGCGGCCGAAGCAGTCCGGACCAAGGGGCAGATGGCACGGGCAGGTTTCTGCTCTGCCTGAGGAAGGGCTAACCATCAAGGCTGCCTGAAGATGGAACGGGCCACCTTGGTGGCAGCGAGCTCCCCATCTTTTCAGGGGAACAGGCCTGATGGGACCCTGGCCCAGTGGTGGCCCATGGAGGTTTCCGTGAAGTAGTTGGATTTGATGGCTTTGAGGTCCCTTCCAGCCTGAGACTGGGGGAGCCTAGGCCTGCTCAGGGTCACCTGGCTGGTCACATGGGCGCCTGGCTCAGACCGCTGCGCAGGTTTGGGCCCAGCAGGCCTGGGGTGCATGCCCTGCCTCTGCAGCGTCTGTGACTCCCCCAGGCTCATCCCGCTCTGTGCCCGGCATGGCCTTGGCTTGCTCCCAAGAGCCCTCAGACTGCGACACGGGGTGGGGAGGAGCACAGCAGGGACGAGCGCCCTGAAGGGCCAACAAGATGCCTTTGTGTCTGTCTGGGCAGCCCCGCCAGGGTGACACGCCACGGAGAGCCATGGGTGACAGAAGCAAAGCAGAGCCCTGCGGACTGACCTTATCGCACAGGCTCTGATAAGGCCCGTGGGAGGAGCTGGCTGTGGTGACAGCCGCAGCCCTCGCCCCCTGCCCCCACGGCTGTGCTTAATGCACAGTATTGATTGATCTGGAAGCTCCTTCCCAGACACACCCTCCCTGCAGGCCTGCCTTGGCATTGTCTCTGCAGCCCCGGGGGGCAGCCCAGCTAACATGGCCCAGTGCCCAGACCCAGCCAGAGCTGGGGAGCGTGGGGAGGATCAGACGCCCTCCCCCGGGGCTGTGCGAGGCACTGTTCCTGGGAAGGGCCGGAGCCCGGTGTCCCCAGCCTCCGGCCAAGCGGGGCTGGTGCTGCTTCGCAAGCAGCCTGGTCCAGTCGTTCTGCTTGTGGGCTCGAGCTCTAGCCAGATCAGCTGTGCGACCCTGGGTGGGCCACGCACCCTCTCTGAACCTCACTCACCGTTTGTATAACAGGAATGGGGTTCTTGTGAGCATTGACCGGATGGCCAGCCCACAGCAGTCTCGGCCCTGGCCTGCTGCATGTATGGCTTCTCCTAGGGGCAGAGGGCCAGGGATCCCCTCTCAGACACCTGATGGCCCCACATCTCCTTGCCTGGACCCAGCCACTCACCTGAAGCATCTGTGCACACATGTGGAGCTCAAGAAAGAAATGGCTGAAGGAGCCAGGGTGGGCGGGGTCTTCAGGATGGGCTGCAGGTAGGAGGGGCCTCATGGCTCCAGAGTTCGCTTTAGAACCTTCCCTGCCTCCCACTGAGTGATCCTCGTGGAGGAGGTCCCTCTGCTCTGCTGCTTGCTGACCTCCCCAAGCCTCAGTGTCCCCAGCTGAGAAACCAAGTTCCACCCGCTTGGCCCTCCACCTGTGAGACTAGGTGCCCTGCTGGTGCGGCTCAGTGGTTGAACGTCGACCTATGACCCAGAAGGTCATGGTTTGATTCCCGGTCAGGGCACATGCCTGAGTTGCAGGCTTGATTCCCGGGGCGGGGGGGCGTGCTGTGGTTCTCTCTCATCACTGATGTTTCTGTCTCTCTCTTCCTCTCCCTCTCTGAACTCAATGAAAATATATATATTTTTTAAAAGGCCTCCCCCATCCCATGCCCTCTGCTGGGCTCTGAGCTCCTCCCTGCAGACAGGCCCAACTCGCTCCCCTCCCCCAGCCCAGGGCCCCAGCCTGAGCCTCCCCCTCCCTGCCCTGTCACTCCCGCAGACACTGCTAATCAGCCCGGGGTGCCTGTGATTGAGCTCCCGGAGATATTTTTACCTTATGCAAATAAGTGATGTCAGGTGCCCTCGCTGTAGGCAGCAGCCCCACCTCCAGCTGATCCTTTCCCTGCCGAGCTGAGCATCATGGCCTGACCTTCTAGATCTCTCCACGCTTCTTCGGGAAAATCGTCCATTAAGGGTGGCGGGTGTCCCCCCTTAGACACACACCCAGGAACTTTGGGAGCAGTTTCCTGTGATTGGAAAGAGCAAGAGATGAGGGAAGGTGCCCAGACTGTGCCTATGTCTGGTGGAGCGGAGGGAAGGTGCCCTGGGCCACACGGCTGGGCTGGGCTGGGCTGGGCTGGCAGGGGAGGCCACCCGCCTCCTCCAGCTGCCCGGCCCTCACCTGAGATGCACAGCCCTCAGGCCCAGCTGGAGCCTGGAACCTTCAGCCCTGTCGGTAGAAGCAAAAACCTGCCCCTCCAGGGACAGCCAGACAGCCCCCGGCCTCTGTCATTAATGGCACGTTTATTGAGCACGTTCCCCTGCCCAACAGTGCAAGTGCTAGTGTCCCCACTTAGTCCTCACAGAAACCCAAGATGTGAGGCAAGTCCTCGGATAACAGAGCCACCCCTCAGCGAGGCTTGGCTGGCTATGTTCCCAGCCCTGTCTGTCCCCAGAGCCATGGCTGTTTCTCATCTGCCCCCGGCTCTGCCTCCTGGTTCTGTGGCTGTTTCCTGGGCCTGAGAAGCCTGGTGGTTCTTTCTGTGTCTCTGCGCTGCCCTCCTGGGCCCAGCAGCGCTCCCTCCAGCGGCAGTCTGGGTGCTGCTGAGCCAGGGGTGTGGCCGGATACCGGGGCTGGGTGGCACTGAGGGAGCAAGTCCCCGAGGAGCTGGCTGTGACACTGGTGGCAGACAGATGGGGGCGTGGCCCTGGCCAGCTGACACCTGGCTGTCAGCCCAGAGCAGCCACCATGTTCGGTCATCATCCTGTCTTGTGGGCGCGCAGCAGGCCTTCAGGCCCCATCACTCTGTGGGGGCGGGGAGGCACCCAGAGACCCAGGGTGGGCCAGGAAAGGTGCAAAGGACCCCTTTCCATGTGGCCAAGGCCCACAGAAGTCCCTGGCCTCTGTGCCCCAGCCTCCCACGGTGGTCATCGTGCACTCGTGGCCATGGGGCCATGAGGTGGGCAGGCCAGAGTCCCCTTTCTCACTACAGCTCTGCCAGGCTCATCAGGGATCCCGTCCTGTCATCCTAGTGGCGGAGATAAGTGGTAAACACCTAAGTGACATATGCAGTGTGTCAGATGGTGACAAGTGCAAGAAAGGAGGAGAGGGGGTGCAGGGTACAGCAGGTGGGTGTTTTTTTTTAGTGTTGTCAGAGAACACCCTCCAGTCAGGTGAGGCTGAAGCAGAGACCTGAAGCACATGGGGTGGGAGCCGTGCAGACATCTGGAAGACCGCAGCACGTGCAAAGGGCCTGAGGCAGGAGGGTGCCTGGCTGGGTGGATGGTAGGAGTGAGGGCTGAGAGCTGAGGTGGGGTCAGGTAGCGAGGGCCTGGTAGCTTCTGTAAAATTTGGCTTTTCCTCTAAGATGGGAAGTCTTTGGAGACCAGACCTGACTTGTAAAGGGCTTTTGATTGGGCGCTCCTGTGAAAATAGACCCAAGGGCCCTGGCCGGTGTGGCTTGGTTGGTTGAATGTCGTCCCATGCCCAAAAGATTGCCAGTTTGATTCCCAGGCAGAGCACATGGCCAGGTTTCAGGTTCGGTCCTGCCCCAGTCAATGTTTCTCTCTCTATCTCTCTCCCTCTACCTTCTTGTCTCTCTCAAATTCAATAAAATCATTTTTTTTAAGAGAGGATAAAAACCAGCGCAGGAGGTGAAAGCAGGGAGGTGGTGGCGGCTCTGATGCAGGCTGTGTCTCCAGAGCCAGCCATGCTGACCACCGTGGTCTCTCCTTTGCAGAACTGGCTGCGACTCTACGGCTACCTGCCTCAGCCCAGCCGCCACATGTCCACCATGCGCTCGGCCCAGATCCTGGCCTCAGCCCTCTCCGAAATGCAGCGCTTCTACGGGATCCCTGTCACCGGCGTGCTTGACGAGGAGACCAAGACGTGAGTCCCTCTGTCGGGCCCTTCCCAGACGCCCCTGGCCCCCGCCCTCCTCCTGGCCTGCTCTCGGGAGGTCTTGGCACACGGAGTTACCAGAAAAGCGTGGTCTCGATACGAGACGACAAATACTTTGATCCTCTGTGCTAGCTCTGATTGGTTGGGAGGGGCTGCCTGAAGCCTTGTGTTGAGAAAGCTCCTGAGGCCGAATCCCAGCTTGGCCGCAAGGAGCACAGGATAGATGAGTGATGTCTGCCATCACTGATCGGAGTGGAGGGACTCGGTAGCGTACATGCCTGGGATGGGACAGCATCGTTCGGCTTTGCTCTGAATGGGACAGAGGGGACGTGACCCAAAGCCCCATCCTAGATGAGCACACACAGAACGTAACGGACCCAGGACAGGAGGCCTCATTCCTGGGGGATTCTCTGAGAAGGGGCCCACCTTTGCAGAGGCCTCACTGGGCATCCAGGCTTCCAGGACAAGGTCATTGTACCTGTTTTCCTGGTGAGGGAACTGAAGCTTAGCTGGTCTCCCACCACACCCTAAGCGGCAGCTAAAGGCCAGAGGTGGGAGGGTGGAAGGAGGTGGGCTGCCTGGAGGAGGCTGTGTGCTCACCCCTCCCCGCCCGCGAGCCAGGTGGATGAAGCGGCCCCGCTGTGGCGTGCCAGATCAGTTCGGGGTGCATGTGAAAGCCAATCTGCGGCGGCGGAAGCGCTATGCCCTCACCGGCAGGAAGTGGAACAACCCCCACCTGACCTTCAGGTAGGGACCCCAGCTTCCCAGGGTGGCGTCCCTGCCAGGGCATTTCCCCATCACCTGGTCTGAGGCTTCAGGCTTCCCAGTGGACTTGTCTGGAAGGTTTCCTTTCTCAGCAGCCCCCCCCGCCTCCCCCCGGCAGGGTGCCCAGTATAGACAGTCCAAACCCACTCTGGCTCCCACACTGACCACGGCTGCACACCCCAGGCTGTCTTCCTCCTGAGAAGGTCGGGACCCTTGGAGCGGCTTCCGCTCTCTCCTCCTTCCCTCCCCCGGCCTCCCCCTCCCACTCCCCTCCCCCCCACCAGCTGCCTGGCTTGGCCTCACTGCACCGGCACCCACTGAGGGCCTCCACAGTGCGGGGATGGGGTGTCAGGCACCTGAGGGTGGGGGAGGAGAGGGGGCCGGAATCCAGGCATCTGCGGGGTGGGCAGGCAGGCAGCAAGTCACCTGCAAAAACCCGCAGGCACCCTCCTCCTTTGTGCTGAGTCCTCGGGCAAGAAACGCCTTGTGGCGGTCCCCAAGGGCTCCTCTTCCTGTGTCTGTCCAGCCACGGCCCCACCAGAGCTCCGTCGCCCGAGGAGGAGTAGCTCCCACGGCCTCTGAGACCCCAGGCCCCCAGCGAATTCATGGTCCAGCAGACACTTCCTCTGATTTAACGAGTTCATTCATTTCACCTTCCCGGGGACACCATGATGAAAGCACTAACCTCTACCCCTTTTACAGACGAGAAAACTCAAGTTCAGAGAGATGACTCACTTGCCCAAAGTCACACAGAAAATGGCCTTGAACTCAGGTCAGCCTGACCTGGAACCCAACATTCAGAACCGATAGCCCCAAACCTCAGGCATTCGCGTTGCTCTTTTTGGTTCTTTCAGCTACATATCCCCCGTACATTCATTTACTTAACGTTTTCTTCCAGAAAGTAGGCATATTTGGCACCATGCAGCCTTATGTGGGAATATCCTAATGAATTCCTGGTTTTGACACGCCTCTTTTTCAAATTCACCTCCAAGCAAACGAATGGTTGAAATTTCAGGCATTGTTGTTAAATCGGTTCAGATCTTTTCTTTTTTTTTGGAGAGAGAGAGAGAAACATCGACCGGTTACCTCCCACACATACACTGACCAAGCGTCAAACCCACAACTCGGGCATGTGCTCTGACCAGGAGTCAAACCAGCAACCTTGCAGTGCATGGGACAATGCTCAACCAACTGAGCCACACCGGCCAGGGCCCAGCTCAGATCATGTGTCCTGGCCTCCAACCCAGTGGGTGCCAGCAGTGAGCAGGAGCCCCAGGCCCTGGGTTCACGGGCCTGTCTCCCCGCCCACCTGCAGCATCCAGAACTACACGGAGAAGCTGGGCTGGTACCACTCGCTGGAGGCGGTGCGCAGGGCCTTTCGCGTGTGGGAGCAGGCCACGCCCCTGGTCTTCCAGGAGGTGCCCTACCAGGACATCAGGCTGCGGAGACAGAAGGAGGCTGACATCATGGTCCTCTTTGCCTCCGGCTTCCATGGCGACAGCTCACCCTTTGATGGCACAGGCGGCTTTCTTGCCCACGCCTACTTCCCGGGCCCTGGTCTGGGTGGGGACACCCATTTCGATGCAGATGAGCCCTGGACCTTCTCCAGCACCGACATGCATGGTGAGAACAGCTGGCCAGGCGAGGGCAAGGGAGGCGGAGCTGGGAACGCAGGGTTGGGAGGGGAGAGCATTGACATTTGGTCTTAAGCTGTTGTCCTACCATCTTCAAGGGGTGGGAGGGAAGAGAAGGGATCATTGTACCCATTGCTCAGATGGGGAAGTTGGAGGCCCAGAAGTCAGAGCAGCTCAGCCTCTTCTAAGAGTGAAACAAGGACAGGCTCCCTGGCAGCCTCAGCCCACAGTCCAGGGGGCCAGGTCCTGGGCCAGGCCAGAGCTGACCGTGCTGCTATCCCACCTCAGGGAACAGTCTCTTCCTGGTGGCAGTGCACGAGCTGGGCCACGCGCTGGGGCTGGAGCACTCCAGCAACCCCACCGCCATCATGGCGCCATTCTACCAGTGGATGGACATCGACAACTTCCAGCTGCCCGAGGACGACCTCCGGGGCATCCAGCAGCTGTACGGTGAGCGAGCGCAGGGACACGCTGGTGGACTCTGCATGCCTACCCTCAACCCAGCCCCACCAGGCACAGGTGCCACTGCTGTCCCATTTTATAGACGAGAAACTGAGGCCCAGAGAGGATTAGTGACTTGTCCATATCACTCAGACTGTGGTAGAAATCAACCCAGAACCTATACCCAGAGCCCAACAGTGGCTCCTGCTGGAGCCTGCGGGGGGTGGGGGTGGGGGGTGGTTCCATCTCTGACCCCCCTCTCCTCCCAGCTTCAGTGATAGTCTTATTGGCCAGAGGTTCCAGGACCCCATTCCTCCTCCTGTCGCTCCCAGCCCAAACCTGCCCTGGACTCTCTGCTAATATTGTTGGTTTATCACTTCCCAGTGTCCTCAGGCAGGAGGCATCCCCCACCCAGGCCCCACCCAGGCCTCAGCGGTGAGGGCTCCTGAGGGCCAGTTTGCTGGGTCAGGGCCTGTGCTCAGTGCCCACACCAGGCACCTCACTGGTACCGACAGTGCCCACCTTGCTGGGCACATGGCAGACATGCCTCACTGTATCCCTAGCAACCTGGTAATCAGATGGAACTCGGCAGGGGCTGCAGAACCATGTTCCTGACTCTGTGTGTGTCCCGCGAGCCTCCAGTGGAACTGGGGAACCGGAGACACTAGCTGCCTCGGGGCACAGCGACCTAAGCCCAGCGTGGGGAGGCCAACGAGGGGGCTCTATGGAGAAGGATGGGGATCCTCCTGAGGATGGGGGTGTGGGGAGGGGGTCTGTGTGGACAGACAGGGCCTTTCACCGGAGCGGGCCCTTCACCTGGGGCACAGGTTTTTCAGGCTGGGCCTGGGGTCGCAGGGTTCTGAGGAGGACAAGGCTGGATTCTGGGGCCTCCTTCTCACTTCTTTTTTTTTTTTTTTTTTTATTTAATATATTTGTATTGATTTCAGAGAGGAAGGGAGCGGGAGAGAGAAACATCAATGATAAGAGAGAATCACTGATCGGCTGCCTCCTGCACGCCCCCTCCTAGGGATCAAGCCCGCAACCCAGGCATGTGCCCTGCCCGGGAATTGAACCATGACCTCCTGGTTCATAGGTCGATGCTCAACCATTGAGCCACACCGGCCGGGCAGCTTCCTCACTTCTTGTTCCCCCTCCCTGGACTCTGCAGGCTCCCCAGACGGCCGGCCGCAACCCACCCGGCCCCTCCCCACAGTGACACCCCGGCGGCCAGGCCGGCCAGACCAGCGGCCCCCCAGACCTCCCCAGCCTCCACCCCCAGACGGGAAGCCGGAGCGGCCCCCAAGGCCAGGCCCCCCAGTCCAGCCCCGAGCCACGGAGCGGCCTGACCAGTATGGCCCCAACATCTGCGACGGGGACTTTGACACGGTGGCCATGCTGCGTGGGGAGATGTTTGTGTTCAAGGTCTGACCCTGCCCATGCCTCCCTCGGCCCCTTGGCCCAGACTCAGAGCCCGAGCCCCCCGCCCCGCCCACCCCCAGAGCCGTGCCCCACCTTGCTGCTCGGCACCCCCACTTCCTCACTGAGCAGCCCCGGAAGCCAGGAGACTAGACTGCGGAGCCCCAGCCGGGGGATGAGGGGTCTCCCTGGAGTCCTACAGCAGGCCCAGGGTCTGCCCCACCCCCCGCCCCTTCTGCCCCTTCCGCCGAGGGCTCCCCCGGTGCTGCCCTCGGTGCCTGTGCCGGACCCTCCCTGGTCCAGGTAGGGGTGGCCCCAGGTGGTCCCTCTCCCAGGTCGAGGCAGCGCACACGCTCTGCCCACTCACACCCCGCCCTCCCCAGGGCCGCTGGTTCTGGCGGGTTCGGCACAACCGCGTCCTGGACAACTATCCGATGCCCATTGGGCACTTCTGGCGAGGTCTGCCCAGCGACATCAGCGCTGCCTACGAGCGCCAGGACGGCCGTTTTGTCTTCTTCAAAGGTGAGCTGGGTGGTGGGCGGGGCGGGGCCCGGGGAGGAGGAGAGCAAAGGGCATGGCGCCCACTGGGCAGCAGCCTGATCACCTGTGTCCCAGGGCCCTCCCTGAGCTTCCGTGAGGCAGCAGCTCCCCCAGAACAGGGCTGGGCCCAAACGAAAAGTGGGGAGCCCTGGGCCATGTGCTGGGGTGCCCCAGGGAACAGCCCCCAGACCCAGAGGCCAGGCAGGGGTGCATGTTCACATGTGACTGGGTGTGTGGTGTGTGTTCAGGTGTGAGCGGTCACATGCGTGTGTGTAAACGAGTGTGTCACAGTTGTCCATGAGTGCAGAGTGGGTGTGACACAAGGGTGAGTTGCCTTGTGTATTGTCGTGGGTGTCAGTGCCTGTCCTATGTACAAGGGTGTGAGTGTGACTGTGACTGTGTGTGTGTGTGTGTGTGTGTGTGTGTGTGTGTGTGTGTGTGATGAGTGTGGCAGTGGATGTGAATGGATTTGTGGGCCCAGAATAACCTTCCTGTGCCCCCGCCCTGCCCACCTCTTCAGCCCCCAGCCCTGTTCTCACCACCTCCCGCTCCTCCCACAGGCGACCGCTACTGGCTCTTCCGAGAGGCAAACCTGGAGCCCGGCTACCCACAGCCGCTGACCAGCTATGGCCTGGGCATCCCCTACGACCGCATCGACACGGCCATCTGGTGGGAGCCCACGGGGCACACCTTCTTCTTCCAGGAGGACAGGTGAGTGCCCTCCCCAACAGGGAAACGCCCCCCTGCCCCCAGGCCCACCCAGAGAGCACCCCCAACCAGTGGGGACCAGACTCCAGGCCCCAGCGGGCCCACAGTCTGCGCTTTTGGTCACAGGTACTGGCGCTTCAATGAGGAGACGCAGCGGGGAGACCCCGGCTACCCCAAGCCCATCAGTGTCTGGCAGGGGATCCCCGTCTCCCCCAGAGGAGCCTTCCTGAGCAACGATGCAGGTACCAAGGCCAGCACCCTGCCGTGGCCTCACTCACCATCCCCTCCCCCACACACAGGGGGCGGGGCTTTCCAAGGCCATCAGACCTTGTGATGACATGTGTGGGGGACAGGGTTGTGTCAGGCCCCAGGCTGCTGGGAGCTTCTGGCGCATGACCCTCTGGTCCTCCCTGCATCCTCACCATCCCAGCTTACAGACGGACACACTCAACCACGGAGCTTGAATAAAGGGCCCCAGACCCCACAGCGAGGAAGTGGTGGGGTCAGGAGTCCCACCCAGGCCCGCCCGTGTCCAGCACTGGCGCTCAGAACCGCCCTGCTCGCCAGGCAGCCTCGAGCTGGGCTCAGAGCCATGGGATGGGAGTCCTCCCCGGTACCCACTCTCCTCCCTGGAAATGGAAGCCAGATCTCTGTCGTGATAACCGAGCGACAGGGAGCTGTGGCTTTGTTTCTCCAGGGTGGTCTCTGGCGGGCTTAAAAGACCGTAGCCCTGGTTCTTAGGTTCCCTTCGGGCTTTGCCATTGCTCAGGGGATCACCGTACTTCTGTGTGTGATGCCAGCACTCTGCAGCCGCTCTCATCTCCCTGCTCAGCGGAGTGTAGACTCACCCCGTGATTCTGGCCCTTCCTGGGGCTGACGGGACGTGGCCAGATGCCCAAGGCCGGAGAGCCGGGCCAAGGCGGTGCTGGGCTCTGCTCCAGGTCCGCTACAGGCTGGCTGTGCGGCCTTGAGCGAGACACTGGCCGGTCTCGTGTGGGGTGAAGCCAGACCTCGGACAGGGGACAGGGTCCCCTGACTGAGCCTCCTGCCCAGCAGGCTGCAGGACCCTGCCCCCTGCACTGCCCGCGTCAGTGTCAGCCCCGCCAGAAGCACAGGTGACCTTGACCCAAACCCTGCCCCTCTATGCAGGGTTTGGGTCAAGGGCACCTGTAATTGGGAAGAGGCAGATTTGAAAATGCTCAGGGAAGCAAGTAAAAGGAAGTTGTTCTGTGTGTTTTTTGTTGTGATTAATCCTCACCCGAGGATATTTTTCCATTAATTTTTAGAGAGACTGGAAGGAAGGGAGAGAGGGGCACATCCATGTGAGAGAGACACATCGATTGGTTGCCTCCCACACGCACCCAACCTGGGGCCGGGGATTGAGCCCTCAACTGAGGCATGTGCCCTTGACCGGAATCGAACCCAGGACCCTTTGGTCTACAGACTGACGTTCTCTCCACTGAGCCACACCGGCCATGCGGAAAGGAGGGTGTCTAAAGCCAGGCCCCACTCTGACCCCTGCCTGCTTGCCCCGCAGCCTACACCTACTTCTACAAGGGCACCCGATACTGGAAGTTCGACAACGACCGCCTGCGGATGGAGCCCGGCTACCCCAAGTCCATCCTGCGGGACTTCATGGGCTGCGAAGAGCCGGGACCCCGATGGCCCGACGTCGCCCGCCCGCCCTTCAACCCCGACCCCGAGGCAGGCGCAGAGCCAGGGGCCGGCGGGGACGGCCAGGAGGGTGACGGGGGCCGCGAGGCCGGGGCCGGGCCGGAGGAGGACGGGGGCAGCCGAGTGGTGGTGCAGATGGAGGAGGTGACGCGGACGGTGAACATGGTGATGGTGCTGGTGCCCCCGCTGCTGCTGCTGCTGTGCATCCTGGGCCTCACGTACGCCCTGGTGCAGATGCAGCGCAAGGGCGCGCCCCGCATGCTCCTGTACTGCAAGCGCTCCCTGCAGGAGTGGGTCTGAGCCGCCTCCTGCTCCTCACGGTGCTAGGGCCAGGCTGGTTCTGAGACTGCCCCTGGGGCACCCGGTGAGAGCCTCCCGTGGCTCCCTCAGCCCCTGGGTGGGGCCCCCCAGGCCCTCCAACATCCCTGCCAGCCCTGCCCCCATGGTTTATTTATGCCCAGGGTTTTTTTTGTTTGGTTTTTGCACACTAACTGAGCATTGGTTTCTACTTTCCTGGCCTGGGCCAGTCCCTCAGGGCAGGGGGTAGAGCTTTCTAAATGGAGTTTAGCTCCAGACCTGGAATGAGGCCCCACCCACCTTTGGCGAGGCCACAGCCAGCAGAGGGGAGGGTCAGAAGGCGCAGGTGGGAGCCTGGCTGAGCTGGGGAGGTTCTGCCCGCAGCCTGAGCCCCAGAACCTGACCGGGAGCTCCCCTGGCCTCCGCCCACCTACGTCTTTCTCTGCCTTAGGAACAGCGAAGTGGGTGTAGGCTGCCAGGGCCACCCCAAGTCAGGGCGGCAGGAGGGGGAGGTGACCCTGGCTGTGAGTCCATGTTGAGTTTGGTTCCTTCCCAACCAACCCCAGCAGCCTGAGCTCCTTGTGCCTAAGAACCCTACCTGCCCCTGGCCAGGGAGGGGCCGGCAGCCCCCAGCTCCCACGTACCCCTTCAGCCCATACCTCCTTATCTGTCTAGAGACGGGGTTCTGGGCCCGCCTTACCAAGGACCAAAGGGCGTCTGCCAAGGCCCCTCCAGCCAGGAGCCTCGCCTCCCTGGCTGGGCCTCCAGCCCCCAGTCCGCCTTCTCTTCTCTGAGCTATAGGACCCACCTGGGCCCCTTCCCTGGGCCTAGTCCCATCCTCTCTCGCCCACACCTCCATCCTCAGGGGTCTCGGAACCCCACCAGCCTCAGGCTCCAGCTACCAGTTGGCCAGCTCTCCTGGGAGAGAGGGGGCTGATGGGTGCCTAGGCTGGGGCGCTGGAGTAGCAGAGCATGCCCACCTGTGTGGGTGCCCACAACCCAGCATGCACCAGGCTTGGAGGGGGTTTCTCCCCTGCAACTCCCTTCCCCCCCCCCCCCCCCCCCCCCCCGCCCTGGTGGGAGAGGCCAGTGGGAGCCCTGGGGCCTGGAGGCTGCCGGGCTCAGCCTTGAGGGCGAGCTGCTCCCTTCTTTTCCTTCCCAAACCGAGCAGAGGCGAGGCTGCTGTGGGAAATGGTACTGTATAGCCGGCTCTGCCCCCCAGAACCCCGAGGCCCCCAGGGAGGGACTTCTCATGGGCTGGCCCCCAAATGCGGGTCCAGCAGCTTCCGCCCCCTCCATCCTGAGAACGGAGAGCCAGCCAAGCGGGGACAGGGGTCCGTGTCCACCCCCGTATGTGTCTTTCTGTAAATAACCTGCACTGATTAAACCGTATGGCCGGCGAGCGTGGCCTCCTTTGTAAGAGGCCTTGGGCCGGAGCTGACAGCTGGAGGGGCTGCAGGTCCCCGGTGGGAGGGGGTGGGGTGGGGACTTGTTCCCACATCTAACAGGCCTTGCTCCCAGCTCTGCGGGTCTCCTTCCCAGGCGCCCTGGGCGGGAGGAGCTGGGGTAAGAGTGAGAGGCAGCTGCCCTCAGTAGCTGGGAGGAGGTTGGGGCAGGGGGCTGGGGTGGGACAGGAAGGGGTGGGGAAGATGTGTCATTCATTCCTGGCGAGAAAGGGCAGCCCAGCGTCCCACGCCCTGCACACCCAGGAGTGGGAGGCCCGGGCCACCCATCCAGGCTGGGCTCTGAGCAGCCTGAGGACCAGCCTGGTCAAGAAGGATTGGGAAACGATGCCACTGCGGACTCCCCTCACCTTGTGCTCTGTCGGAGGGTGAGGGGCACCCCAGATCTGCCCTCGCATCTTTGAAGCAGCAAGAAGGCTCGCCCAGGAGGGCAGGGGACAAGCAGTGCCGGCCCTCAGGTCTGGGTCAGCCTTGGACCCCCCACCCCATAACCAGCCCCATCTGTCTTCTGGGCCATCCTATTGGGCACCAGCCTGCACCCCCAGGAATGCAGTGATCAGCTGCAGTGGGTCCCACAACTCCTCCAACAGGGTCCTTCAACCTGTTCGGGGCTCCACCCTCCCCCACAGCTGCACGCCCCTCCCCAGCCCCCCTGACCCCTCCCTTTCCTCTCTTTGTATTGAAAACTGGCTGAAGAGAGTCGGAAATGCTGGCCCTAGGAAGCCCCAAGGCCCGTCAGGCTAAGTTTGGAAACCCTGTGCGCCCCCACACAGGGACCGCGGGGAGGGGGGGCGGAGAGGGGAGGGCCTGGGGGTCCAGGGCGGACTCCATCTTACAAGCTTTTCTGTGGCAGAAGCCAAAGGACCCCCACCCAGGTCTGCCTTCTGCTGAACCTCAGGGTCACCCAGAAGCCCGAGGTCACCGGCAGGTGGGAGGCAGTGTGGGGCGCAGGGAGGGGGGGAAGGGCCTCTCACTGGGACTTGGCGGAGGGGTCAGCCCGGCAGGAAACTCACACCCCCAAGCTCTTCGGTAAAATCTTAAGAAACCCAGTGGCCGAAGGGACAGCCAGCTCATCTCTGGAGCCCCTTCCTCATCCCTCGGGGGGCCGGCTGTGTGAAGGAGGTCTCTGGGGAGGGACGGGTGGAGCACCCCAGCCAGTCCCCCCACCCCACCCCCAGACACTGGCTGCCCCAGCATTAAACGGGAGCCTGCATCTTTAAACTGGTTTTTTGATGAACACGGCTGTAACCTAAACACCTTGGGCCCCTCACAGCCCCCATCCCTTCCTTTAGATCTTTTCTTCCTTTAGATTTTGCTAATTCCAAAGTAAGACAGGGAAGACACTACAGATAAAGAGAAGGGGAAGAAGATGAGTCCCATCAACTCCCCCAGCCAGTACGGACAGCCGGCGGGTTTTCTTCCAGCCCATTTCCCTCCGCGTTCGCACAGCGTGGAGTTGAGGCTTCAGCCCGGATACTGCAAACTTAAACCTCAGTGGGAGGGATAAGGCGACCTGCCTCGGCCGCTGCCGGGAAGATGGACAGAGGATGGTGGCTGCAGCGCTGGTGACAGTGCGGGCATTTGGCGGCCTCAGGCGACGCGCATGCTCCCCCACTTACAATTAACCCCTGAGAACAATGGGGCTCAGAGAGGTGAAGTGACTTGCCCAAGGTCACACAGCCAGGAAGTGGCTGTGCCGGGATTAGAACCTACAGGACCGACTCCGCAGCAGCCCAATGCCTCCCCACCCTGAGACAGAGATGCTCAACCGCTGAGCCACCCTGGCCTTCCCGCCCCACACATTCTAGGCAGGGAAGACCCCAGGGCCACCAACAGAGCCTCCTTTCAGGCTGGGGCAGGGGCCAAGCCGGCCGCTTCCTCCCCCTCCGACTTGGCAGAAAGGCCTTTTTGTTGTGGCTCACACAGAGGCCATTCTCCTCCGGCTCTCGCGAAGGAATGGCCGGCTTCCTGCCCATCCACAGCCGCCCGGACTGGTGGACTCCTGCATGTAGGCCCGAGAGAAGCAGGCCCCCTCCGCGCCCTCCAGTCCCGCCTCTGGGGCCCCAGGTTGCCAGGCTGTGCTTCCCAACCCATGAGATCACCCAAAGGGTAGAGGTCAGCCACTCCTCGGCGATTCCAGCAAATGCTGGGCATTCCAGGCCTCAAGATACTTTCAGGGCAAAGTAGTACCCGCCTCAGCCCACTGCTCCAGCGACCTCAGGACCCACAGAGCTCTGCCAGAGGCCCCTGCCAGGCGGCTTGCCTGTCCCACATGCCCCCTGAACTTGCTTGCCTCTGTGACTTGGCGTATGCTGTTCCCGCCTACTTGAAAACCCTTCCCTGCACATTTCATCCTGTCCAGGGTGCGCAGATCCTTCAAAGGCCCGGATTAAGGCTTGCCTTTCCACATCCCCTCCCTCCCTCCTCCAGGTGATTGCGTTTCTTCCCACCTCTGGCTCGCCCAGCCCTTGCGTCCAGGCCATTCCTTGCCTTGGAGCCCAGCCTGGCCGGCCTTCCAGGCGCCCAGATGCTGACTGGCTCCCTTGCTCACCGGCTGTGTGTCCTTGGGCAAGTCGCTTCACCTGTCTGAGGTTCTCCTTCCCTAGGAGACTAGTGGCCACACCTGATCTCACACAGTCGTGAGGCTTGATCGAGCGGATCCTTGTAAACACTTAGATCGGCACCTCGCCCAGGGAATCGTGGTTTGTTACTGTGTCTCTGTTTTAGGTGCAGGGACCTGGTGGGCACTGAGGAGGAGGCATCCCTCCTCGCCTTTCTCCCCAGGACTGTGCGGTGTGGGGTCAAAGGTCACCAGCCCGGGGACAGGTGCGGGGAGGAGGGACATTCAAGTCCCACCAGCTCCACTCCCAGCTGCCTAGGCCTCTTCCTGTGACCCTGGCCCGGCCCCGCCCCACCCACAGCACCAGCCCTCCTTCCCAGGCACTGGGCAGGAGGCCGGCTCGGGTTTCCCCCCAAGTGTGCCTGACACCCTCCACCCCCACATGTTCACCCACCTCGGTCTTGGCCAGAAATAGCCTCCAACCTCCACTGACAGCCAAGCGAACAGGCCCCGCCTGGAAAAACGATATCACGGCGCTGCCAGCACGCATCGCAGCCGCACACGGGCTCCGTCAAGAGATCATTCGGAGCCGGTGGGAAGGGAGGGGCGGCGGGAGCCCGTCATCTCCAAAAACACACAGCGCCGTCCTGAGGCCCGTGGGCTTCGCCACACCAACCCCTTTACGGATCGGGACCCTGAGGCCCAGGCCCGGGCGCCCGCCCTGAACTGTCTCCCGGTCCCCAGGCAAGGCTCTCCTCCTCACCCGCCTTGACACCCCTCGACCTCCCCGCCCCACATGGGGCTTCCTCTTCTGCTCTTCGGCAGAGCTGAGCACAGGGTGTGCCGATGGACCCAGCTTTCCTCCCGATAAAGGGCGTTTTCGTGCTTCCACACACTGTGGAGGGGAGCCCACCCTCTGGGAACAGCCCTACCCCACCCCCCAACACACACACACACTGTCTTGGGAGAACAACTCCTGGTTCCCTCTCAGTCCAGGGTCTGGCAGCGCTGACCCCATCCGATGGGTGGCCAGATGAGCTTGTGAACCAGGGCCGGCCAATCAGCACCCAGGGCATGGTTCAGGGGTGGGCAGGAAACCCAAGCCTAGCCAATCAGGGTCTCCTGGTGACTTTTTCTGGAGCTTTGGGGAGAGATAAGCCCCATGTCTGGGGGAGGGGGGTGTCGCTGAGCTAGGGGAGCATGAGCCTAGAGCTGCTGATGGGTCATCGTGCCACCATATGGAGAGAGCCTGCCTCAGAGCAGAGCCAGGACAGGGGAAAACAGAGCCTGGAAGATTCTGGAAGGCACCATTTGAGCACCTGGATCCAGCCATTCCTGAAGCTCTCTGGCTTGGGTTTTTCAGTTACATGTACCAATAAACTCCCCCCCCCTTTTTTTTTCTTAAGCCAACGTGAGTTAGTTTTGGTTATTTTAAAACATTTATCCCGGCTGATGCCCAGGGTACCCAGATGTGTGTTTAGCTTCGTGCATTCTTCTTGCCAATCTAGGACTCTTCTCCAGAGGGAGCCCAACGCCAGGACCACAGGGCACCAATCTCCTCCATCCTTGGATGTTTACTAAGAGCCAGAGCTCACTCTGGGGTCCTGACACAAACCCCCAGCTGCCTAAGACCACGCAGGACACTTGATCTTCTCAAGAGGCCTGGGAAGCAAGGAGCCAGGTGGTGGCAGGAGGGGCGGGGGGCTCCATTAACTGTCACGTGGGTTTTTTTCCGATTGCAAATGGTGACACGTGTTGGCCAATGAGGACAGCACAGGAGAGCCAAAGGTGACTCGGAAAATGCCAGCCATCTCTACCCTCTCTTCTACTCGACCTTAACGTTTTATTGTAAATCCCACAGGCTTTCCCTGACAAGTATATGTTAATATATTTTATTTGTTAAACATGAGTTCCTTGCAGTCATGCCTTTTTCATTTAGTATCGCATGAGATGCGGATGAGAAACGTGAGGTATAGGAGACTTTTTCCTTATTTGCTGCCTGAATTATTACGAGCATGCGTTCCATCCCCAGGATGGTGAAAGGAGTGACTACACAGCGTACCTCTTTTTTTTAAAATATATTTTTTATTGATTTCAGAGAGGAAGGGAGAGAGAGATAGAAACATCAATGATGAGAGAATCATGGAGCGGCCGCCTCCTGCACGCCCCACGCTGAGGATCGAGCCCACAACCCAGGCATGTGCCCTGACCAAGAATTGAACCATGACCTCCTGGTTCCTAGGTCGACGCTCAACCACTGAGCCAGGCCGGCTGGGCTAAACAGTTATCTTTAACCCCCTTTCATGTCCACAGGTTGTTTTCCACAACCTCCTATTGGCGGACTCATGCTACGATGCTACGGAGAGGCTTCCTCAACCC